TATATGAGTAGTACATAACTGATAAAAACTAGGTAGCCAAGAAGGCCAGGCACAAATCCTCCAAAAGAGCTTTTTATAGATACTGTTGATGTATTTTCAAAGATGTTACTACACCCATACTTTGTGCAATTTATTTTGAACACAGATTACCTGTTCTTAATACAAATATCCCAGACTATAGGTGAAGGGTAATTTTAGTACAGGTTGTCTGATTCTGTACAAAGTGCTCTCTTGGTCCAATTTTAAAAATGCAACCTTATAAAACTTACCTGGGAGCAAGCCCTATTGTAATGAGTGGGGCTTACTTATGTGTAGGTATGAAAAGGATTGTTTTATCAATGGTACGGGTTTGGCTTGCAGTGATGAAGCACACTGAGCATCCGGCTGTGACAATTTGACAGATGGAATATTGATAGGGACATCTGTTAACGAGCTCTCACATTTTAAACAGAAATTAAAACCACCTGTGACACATTTTCTGCATTTTAAATTTCCATACGGAAACTATGTTTTTTTCCTAGCAAATGTCCCCAAATTAACTCATCAAAATTATGAAACAGAGCAGTTCCAAGAGACCTAATATATGCATCTCTGTATTAACTTCACTATGCCTCTAATTTAGTGAAAGAGAAAGCAACAGACCATGTAGCCCAAGAGAAGTAGGTAGGCCTAACTTTTATGTTGTACCAGGCCTACATCCGTCAGTTTACATGTCTGTTGTCACAAATTTGTGCTGGTTGTGCCTTGATCCTGTGTTCATAATCCTGGGAAGAGGAACTGACCAGGAGCAGCGATATGGTGTGTTAATTGAAATAAATGGGCGAGCCGTGTAGCCACTGCAAACTACAAATACAAATGTAAAATAAAATAAAATAGCTCTGGGTAAAAACACCAAGGAGTCTTGTAACACTGTGAAACTACCACTTCTACGATGGTGTGAACTTTCATTGACTAGATGGCAGGAGCCCCGTGGCGCAGCAGTTAACTGCATTCAACCTTAGTTCAGTCCTGATGGATGTAGGTAGCCAGTTCAAGGGTGACTCAGCCTTACATCCTTCTGAGGCTAGTAAATTGAGTACCCAGCTTGGGGATGGGAGGGGGGAGCAATGTGTAGCCTTCAGATTCACCAGCTGTGAGATTTTAGACCATTCCCTGCCACTCCCCCATTAAGATAATATGTTAATCAAGTAAAGAAAATTCAGCTAAAGGATAAACAGGAGCAGGCCCCTCCCAAAATAGTTTACTATCTCTGCTGAAGGAACCACAGACACACACCTTATTTATTTATTTATTTATTTGTCTGTCTGTGTGTCTGTCTGTCTGTCTGTCTGTCTGTCTGTCTATTACATTTATATCCTACCTTTCTCTGATGAACTCATGGTGACATACACAGTTCTCCTTTGCCCTCACAATAACCCTAGGGGATGAAAGATAGTGACTCTTGCTCAAAATCATTGAGTCAGTTGCATAGTCGGAGCAGGAATTTGAACTCAGGTCTCCCAAGTCATTGTTCAACCTGCTTACCCAGTATATCACGCTGCCTCTTGCATACTGAAGATACTATCGGACTAGCTCTTGAATCTCCTGTCAATATTACTGACAGAACTGTGTCTACCAGCATGTCTGAAGGCAGCCGATTGGCCTAGTAAGTGTAGAACAGGTCACACACACCACCTCTGTCCTCCAGTGCTCTTCACCTACAGCAGATTTCTGGGTCGTGCTTGCCACCCTCTCAAAGTAATATTCACAGTCACAAACACACGTGCAGAGTGCCCCATGGAGTTTAGTCTCTGACTGGTTGCTTCTCCGTCTCCTCACACAGGGGCTTTTCATGACAGCATGGTGAAACTTCCAGGGACGGTGAAAAAGTGTGGGGCAGGAGTGAAGACTAGCAAAAGGCAAGAATTGCCATGGCAACAGTAGTATGGAAGAATGGCAGCCTCAAGATGGGTGATGGTGGGGCACTGCAGAGGAATACCTGTGGGAGGGATGGTTACAGCTGCTACCCAGAGCTTGGAAAAGCTGGTAGACTGGCCTATAACTTCCAGAATCCTCCAACCAGTATAGCCATTAAAGATGTTCACTGCCCCTTCCCCGCAATACCCATCACCTCAGATGACTATGAAGTTATGAAACTTCTGTACGTACAGTACTTTTAATTATACTGTATATGTAGAAGAAAATCGGATTCTTAGCAACCTGCAGCTTGCCAAATTCCCTCTTTTGTCTATTAAAAGAAACTGGAACCCTGCCTTCTTTTGCATCTCCTGGGTATATTCCAAAGTCGTTTCTATGTATTGATTTAAAACGTTTCTTTGTTGCTTTTCAGTTGTAATATAGACTAAAAATGGCTTACAAAAAACCCTTCATAATTTGTATGAAAGTTATCTCAGTACTTGGAAAGAGACTATCTTTTGACTGCAGAGTTTGAGATGAAACAGTATCTGAGCTGTTGGGAGGAAAATTTCTTGGAAATCTACACAAAGCAAGGGCTGCCAATGGGGCTTCGCCTTGCGTAGTAGATTCCTTCTGCTTTTGCCAGCTACCACTGTAAGGAAAATTAGGCGAACAACAGAAGGGAAATTTCAGCGCTCCCATGCTTGTTCTTGGAAGCAAGACTTAAAGAGTCTTGTTCTTGCTGTTGTTTCAAAACAGACCAATAGTGCTAACACACTCTCTGGGTAGTTTACAACATAATTACACAAACAACACTCCCTCTCACCCCCGAAATGGGTTCTCATTTTATCAACCTTGGAAGAAAGGCTGTGTGGACCTTAAGCTGGCTATTTGTACCTATAGGAGTCAAACTCAGGTCATGAGCAAAGGCTTCACTGCCGGACTGCATTTATACTGCACCACAGAGCACAACTTTTGAAAGCAGCTTGTTTTTTCCCCTCAAGACTGATGGCCTCTTCCTACTTTGAAATAGAACCACAGTTCCTGAGCTGCTAGCCTCGGTAACTGAGATAGTTCTGGCACACTGGGAGAGCTGCATTTAACAATAAAGGAGATACTAGGGGAGAGGATTCAGGTGTGGGAAAGCAGGCATAGAGATGGAGTTGGAAGAACCAGATGCGGACCAGATAGGCGGGGTATAAATCAAATAAATAAATAAATAAATAAATAAATATTTTGAGAGGGAAGGGTCCTTGGAAGAAGGTGGTACGACCTGCCCCTATACCTAATGGGGAGACACCATGCGAAGGAGATTGGGTACGTCACCCATGCTGCGGGATGATTCGTGCGGTAAGGAGCAATCCTCTGAGGAAATCAACCAATCAGGAGAGATTCGGGATGTTGCCGCACTGAAGGAGAATGTAATGTGGACAGGACTGCCTATGATGCGGACTGGGTCCCCTATGGTTGACGGTCCCGTTGGACCTACTGAAGTTGTAATACACCCCTCCCCTCCTAAAGATATTAAACGTTCAGTTAAGGATATTTCGTCTCCTGTGGTTAATCACGTTCAAGAAGAGGACATGCTTAACTTAGAACAAGAACCCAATCATAGCTGTCCACTTGAATCCATCAGGATCTTGTTTGTTGCAGTTCTTGCTTCTGAACTGCCACGTCTCTTTCTGTCATGGGGTCCAAATGGTAAAAACAGGCTGTATACATAGCGAGAGAGTAGAATAAAAGAGACATTAAGGGCTAATAGTGTGCGAGTGTGACAGAACTCAGAAACATGCATACACTACTCATTTATATTGAAAGAAAATATGCCTGCTGCACCAAAACTCACTTTGCATCCAAAATAATTCAGGCTTCCTCTTGTCTCATGTAGCTGGGTTTTTTTTAATTGATGTTTTAAAAGGAAAATCTGATTCAACAGTGGTTCTTATTGTCAGTACAGTATAACTGGGCCCATAGTAGTAGCTGGGTTAAATTGATGTTTTAAAAGCAAAATCTGATTCAACAGTAGTTCTTATTGTCAGTATAACTAGGTACATAGTAGAGCAAGATAGTCCACCTACATTTATTTCCTATCTATTTCTTCTCTATGCCCAGTACAGTATAACTGGGCCCATAGTAGAGCAAGATAGTCCACCTACTTTTATTTCCTATCTATTTCTTCTCTATGCCAACCAGTGTAATCAGAGGGAGAAAAATGTTGCAGTTAAATCCTTCTGGGATATAACTTCGTAGCTCAGCGTGGTCATCAAAATTGCCTGTGTGACAGACAGTATGTGATTCAAGGGTGACTAAGGAGCCACAAGAGATGGGATCTCAGCTTCCTGCATGGATAGGGATGATACATCACTCAAGCTAACACTGTCCAGAACTGGGAATTAAACATGTCTGGGTGTCTAAGGAGCCTAAGAAGAAAGTTGATGGAATACTACAATACACTTCTCCCTTCACAACACTGGTGTTAAGCCTACTGGACCTTCGTGCAGTTCAAAATCTGTGTATAACTCTTATGTCCCTAAAAACATAACTACAAAGCACGAACAATTGATTCACAATCACACAGATACACAAACACAGAAAGCAGTTCTCTCAGTTGGGGTTCTCTTCCATACTGTTGACAATCCTTTCCATACAGTAGCATGCATTATGAACCTTAGACTACCCTAATCTAGAGACTGAATTAGAGATGTTGTGTTTGGGGGCTAGAGGGATGTGGTGGCGCTGTGGGCTAAACCGCAGAAGCCTGTGCTGCAGGGTCAGAAGACCAGCAGTCGTAAGATCGAATCCACGTGGCGGAGTGAGCGCCCGTCGCTTGTCCCAGCTCCCGCCAACCTAGCGGTTTCAAAGCATGCAAATGCAAGTAGATAAATAGGGACCACCTCGGTGGGAAGGTAACAGGGTTCCGTGTCTAAGTCACAGTAGCCATGTGACCACGGGAGAGTGTCATAGGACAAAACACTGGCTCTATGGCTTGGAAACGGGGATGAGCACCACCCCCTAGAGACGAACACGACTGGACAAAAATTGTCAAGGGGAACCTTTACCTTTACCTTTACCTAGATTATGATCATTGGTCAGAAATACATTTTTTTAAAATCAAATAATTTGAGGTGTGGAAGAAGCAGTGCAATGGGAATTCTGGAGCCATTTCCCCCCCAAAATATTTTGGGTGCGTCAAGGGTGCTTTGGAGCAGATGTTGTCCACCCCAATTTATTTTAAGAACAAATGCAATAATACCCAACATGTTTAATGTTGAGACAATGCCATTTACATTTACAATGTAATTATTAATAAAACACATGTACTGTATTTGTATTCTACTTTTGCTCCAAGTTGCTATGGGCAGTGTATACAGAGTGTCTGCATGTCTCCTTTTAAACTCACAGCAGGCTGGTGAGCGATGAAGTAACTAAAATAGTTTGCATGGGATTACATCAGTGTCTCCTGATGAGCTTCATGGCTGTATAAGAATTTGTGCTGGGATCTCCCTTGTTTGACACTTTGCCTGTTAAATGAGGGGTGAGGGAATATATTGTGGGGGATGTCATCCAGTTTAGCAGCCTTTTGTATGCTGGATTGCCTTGGCGCGATGCCTTGTACTATTTAGTCAGTAAACAAGTTCCCGCCACAAGGCCGTCAACTCGTACACGCTGACTTAGAAATCAACCGCGCATGAAGTCAAGAATAACTCTGAACACGCAGGATTTGAACGTAGCGAACTCCAACGAAAGAGATGAGAAACGATAATAATTAACTCTGTCTATCCGTCTGTGGGTTACCATTCTATCTTGTTGCTATCTCTACGGCCACTCCAGCTTCCGAGGCAGGAAGCAGGAACAGATGGGGCCTCTCTAGGCGTATCTTTGCAACTAAGCTAAAGGTCGCCCGGAGTGGGCGAAGTGGGCGGCGGGTGGTCTTTGCCGGCGGAGCAGCCATGGCGGAGCAGCCGAAGCCTTCTCAAGCGCCCATCAGCCCCGTGAAGAACTTCTTCGCGGGGGGTTTCGGGGGTGTGTGTCTGGTTTTCGTGGGACACCCGTTGGACACCATCAAGGTGAGTGGGGAGCAAAAGAGAGCTGGAGACTACAAGTCCCGGTGTGCACCGCGCGGTCAGGCTGCCCGGGGAAAATGATCGAAAGTGGCACGATTTCGCTTCCCAATGTGCGGACAGCCCCCAGAACGATTCTTTTCTTTTCTTTACTTTCTTTTGGACTGCAGGGTTCAGAAACACTGCACTTCTGAGTTCTGCTCGGATGCAAAAGTGCAAAGCAGCAAATCTAACTTCTGCAGGTTTTCTCACAAGTAGAAACTAGATTACAGTACTTAACAACAACCATGGGCGTCACGTTTTAAGAATCCAAAACACAGTACAGTATGTCTGCTTATGTGAGTCCCCCAACCTTTATGGTCTACTCAGAAGTGAGGATAAAAAGCAGCACGGTATACAGAAGATGAAACTAAACTGTTCTGTTGCCCTATTATAAAGTGGATGACCTGGCAAAACAGGGAAATGAATCTTGTTTTCTAAGCAGATGCAAAGTGTAAGAGAATGTTCTTATTTTGATAAAATTATGATCATCAGCACCTCTGCTCATTTTAAATTTCTGGCCCAAATTGGCTTTGTGGAACCGGGAGAATATCATGTGGGAGAGAAAGAGCAGTGCTCTCAGACTGATGCAGAGAAGGTGGGGGAGCATTGTTAGCATTCATACATTAGTGAATGCCCATAGCAGTGTTTCTCATCTTGGGGATTGTGACCCCCAAGTGCTTTTTGGGGATCACAGGTTGCCTGATCTATGTTGTAGCCCTTTAAAAATAATTTATTCCTTGACCTTTGGTCCATGCGCTCATAGTCTCAAGATTAGACTACTGTAACACACTCTGTGTGGGGCTGCCTTTGAGACTGACGCGGAAACTTCAAATGGTACAAAATGTGGCAGGGGTGAAAAGGTACCAACATATTTCCCCCATGCTGGCTGCCGTGCATTGGCTGCCCATTTGTTTCCGCATTGATTTCAAAGTTCTTATGATGACATATAAAGCCCTAAACGGTTTAGGACCTCGATATCTGGCAGAGCACCTTCTCCCCCCCAGTTCTGCGAGAGTCGCTCATTCCAGTCAGGCTGGGCAGCTGAGGGGCCTAACACTGAGGGAGGTCTGGAAGGAAAGAATGAGGAACCGGGCCTTCTCAGCAGTGGCCCCTTGCCTCTGGAACAACTTGCCAGTGGAGATCTGCCTGGCTGCGTCTCTTGGTGTTTTTAGGAATAAACTTAAAACTTGTCTATTTGGGCAAGCTTTCCCTCCTGCCGTATCTTAATTTCTTATACTTTCTCCACCTTGGATCTATAATATATGTTTTTTGTTTTATTATTTTTAAATTTGCAAACCTCCCAGAGTAGACCTTTGGTCTAGATGGGTGGGATAGAAATCCAATAAATAAATAAATAAATATGAGAACCTGGGGGAGAAAGGAGCCTCTATTTTTTGAAAAGGGATTGCTTTACCCTATTAAAAATACCTTTTTATGTAAAAGTGACAGTGGGCCGCAAGTTACTTGGCTATTATAAAACGGGGTTAAGACTCGAAAAAGGTTGGGAACCAGTGCCCTGAAAGTATTAAATACCTTTTTATGCAAAAGTGACAGTGGGCTGCAAGTTACTTGGCTATTATAAAAGGGGGTTACGACTCGAAAAAGGTTGGGAACCAGTGCCCTGTCAGGATATATTATGAAATTGCGGTGTAACCTTAGAGAGTGCCCGTGTCTACTATGTATTCATATCTTTTTGCAAAGTCATGTTGGTTTTTGTTCTGTCAGAGATCAACCACTGACTAATACTATTCTGAGCCCTCATCATGGATTTATGGTCTGTGTAGTGATCGTGTAATCCTGAATTTATTGTCTTAAGTCCATGGAGGCACAAGTCTATGCTTCCTAGGAGAATGATCTTTGCCCTTAAATAATCTCTCTGTTAATGATTAGGTTTGAAGATGATAGCATTCTGTTTTCCGAGGGCTTTCAACATAGTTTAGACTAGAGGACTTGTATCTTGTTATTTAATTCTGATTCCATAATATAATGACTAGGAGAATGCAATCCATGATAGAACTATGGTTGGTTTTGGCCTCACTGTTGCAAAATTTATAACATCAGTACTGTTGGAGAATCCTGATTAACAGGGAAACCAGAAGTGGCAGTTGAACCTGTCAGTCAATGCCTTATTGAATTAATATTAAGGCCCAGTGCTTATCTCATCTGGCCAGCCACTGCCTGTGGAAAAAGGAGGGGAGTGAAATAGCATCCTCTTACTCATGTTCCCCAGCAAATGTTACTGAGAAACCTACTGCCTCTGGTACTATAGGTGATATATAGTTGTCAGCACTAGCCGTTGATGGGTTAATAGCAAGCCTCCAAGAATGTTCTAATTCCCTTTAAAGCTATCCATATTGATGTCTATTATCACATCTCCTGTTAGGGAAGATCACATTTTCTCTTTATACTGTGTGAAGAAGTACAGTACTGTACTTCCCTTTAGCTTTAAGGAACATCAGAGATATTTGGAGATTCCCAATGAGTTGCTTTGGCATGGATTTTAAAATCCCTCAAGCCTTGAGGGTTCTTAGTTACCAAGTCTGGACACCACCATTTCATCAGACAGGAACATAGGTCAGAGAGTGGTTGGTACATCAGTGGAAATACTAGTTTTTCTTGATGAATTAGCACCAGGGGCAAACACCTAAAGCTAGTTGTTGACTTGACAGGACCCTCCTATTTCATTGATGCAGGTCTCAGTGATATAAAGCAAAAAAGCGTACACTTGTGCCATTTTGTCACAAAGGGAGTAGATTTAATGATGAAAAGATGGCTGTGTGAAAGGGGAAGTGTATTAGGCAGTCAGAGCTATGCGTGGGTATTGAGTAAATAGTTCTCTCTTTCTCTCTCTCAAATCTATTCCATAATAAAATGGTCTGTAATAATAAGACACCATTCCCGTATTTTGTGCACCCCGTTCCCTCCATTTATTTTGTAGGTTAGACTACAGACCCAGCCTCCACCTTTGGCAGGACAGACTCCACTCTACACTGGGACCTTAGACTGCTTCAGAAAGACTCTTATGAAAGAGGTATTGTGCCAGATTAATTGTAATGGCTGCCAAAGCTGTAATTTTCTTATAATTCTTACTGGAATGAAACTGGGGAATGATGTTGCTTGAAAGTTGCAAGTCCTTGGCCTGTCAGTTCAAATGATTCAAGCTCAAGTGTTTCAAGGGGAACCTTTACCTTTACCTTTTTTTTTTGGTATATTCAGTGGCTAAATATTGCAGCCCTGTATGGAAACTGGGCAGCGCTTAACCGGATCAGGGCGGACCATAGCAGGTGCCAATACTGGACACATAAATGGGGGCTGGTCAATAATCCTAATTGTGATTTTGGGTATAGCTTGCAAACATTACATCCCATTGTGAAGGAATGCCCCCTTAGAAGGAATGCCCCCTGGCTCCCTGTAAGAACGACATCATCTTGAGGGCACTGCTGCTTAATATCTGTACTTAGGCTTAGTTCCTTTAGCAACTGCGCACACATAATTAATTTCACTAATTATTCACTATTTGTCTTGCGTGTTTTTAAAATCTCATTGAATTTATCCTTTTAAAGTTTTACATTTTATACATTTTTTTATATTTCCTTTGTGAAGTCCTGTGTAGTTGGGTGTTTTTAAAATCTCATGGAAGTTATCCCTTTAAAGTTTTACATTTTATACATATTTTATATTTCCTTTGTGAAGTCCTGTGTAATAATGCTGTATTCTACTATGCCATATGAAATAAAAAAGTTATCATTAAGGGACCAATGTGAGCCTCTAACTCGCTGTTCTACTCTACTCTCTCTTCCAATTTCTGGAACAGTTTCCCCATTCTTTTGCTTTGTCAGGTTCAAGACTGGTTGACTATTATGACACCCCAGCTCAAACTGTAGTTAAGGCTAAACACTTTCTCTCTTAACCAGGGTTTGCAAGCCTGTTTCAATGGGCTGTAACACACACTTTTTAACAGAGGGCTGCTAAACTTTGGTTAAGGCTGGAAAAGAAGAGGGAGAGGTTGTATGCTCCACATCTCTAGACCATGGTTAAGAGGATTGGCAAGAAACAAAAGGAACTGGTAGATAGATCAATAGACCAACCTTGATCAATAGATCAACCTTGGATAACCCAGATGTTCTTGGACTGCATTTCCCAGAAACTTTCATCACCATCTGTGCTGGCCAGGGTTTCTGGGAGCTGCAGTCCAAGAACACCTGGGTTACCTGAGGTTTGGAACCACAGCAGCAGATCTAAAAATGAAAGATGGATCAAATTCTTAGGATATATAACAAATATAGATTCTATTAACAGTTTATTAAACAGGCCAACACAGTTTGGCCTAAACTCTTTATGGCCTTCTTCAGGGGCAATAATTTGTGATATATATTAAATCTCTTTTTTGGTCTGTTTCCCAGCTTTACTACACCGCTTCAGTTGGCCATAAACTAACTGGGCCAAAACACATTGGGCGGGTTTTAAACTGTAATAAATCTACATTGTAATGCATCCTGATAGTTTGGTCTTTCTTTTATTAGAGAATGGCAGCGTTACATCTGTGTTGTGAACATAAATGGTAAATGTTCGTTTTTGGACTCAAGCTCCCGGGATCTCCAGCGTGGCCACCTTGGGTGGGGGATTCTCCAAACCTTAGTCAAAAAAGTAACCTTTTGGAGTTCTGATTGGCTATCTTTGATGTAGGGAAAGGGGAACACTTTTATCTTTCCTCAAAGCTCTCCATAACTAGCTGCCCACAAATGTACAAGCCAATTAGTAACTTGAAAAATGATTTTATTAAAACTCTTAAAATTAAAATTGTTTCTTGTAGCCCCAACCTATACATCATGGGTGGGTAGCCTCCAGCCCATAGTGCCTCTTCATTTGTTCTGTGGCTTCCTTTTCTTGGACTATTTTCTAAGTGTGATGAATGACCAGTTTAGAGAGTCCTGTTCTAACTCTTGAATTACACTACTCAATTGACCCCAGAGTGGGTGAGCTTAGGAGAGTCAAATGTGGTGATGGTTATGGAGACTGCCTGGTCCCAATACCTCCTAACACTCAGTTTAAGAGTTTATCTGCTATAGTTTGAACATGTGTTCAGGAGAGGAAGCTGAACACGTTCCATATGTGTTGTCTCCAACGCATTTTTGGTGTCATCTGGCGGGACAAAATAGAGTAGTCCTAAAACGAGCTGGGATTTTTAGCATGTATACATTACTGAAACAGCAACGTCTATGTTGGTTTGGGCATGTCGAGAGAATGGCTGATGGTCAGATTCCAAAAGATCTTCTGTATGGAGAATTAGTGCAGCAAAATCGCCCCAGAGGGAGACCACAGCTGCGATACAAAGATATCTGCAAGCGGGATCTGAAGGCCTTGGAAATGGACCTCAACAGATCGGAAACCTTGACCTCTGAGTGTTCAGCCTGGAAGCAGGTGGTACAGCATCGCCTCTCCCAGTTTGAAAACACCCTTGTCCAGCAGGCCAAGGCAAAGAGGCACAATCAAAACCAGCAAAATCAGAGAGATGGACAAGGGACAGATTGTATTTGTCTCCAGTGTCGAAGGGATGGTCACTCTTGAATTGGCCTCCTCAGCCACACTAGACGCTGTCCCAAGTCCTCCATACACAGCACGTTACCATAGTCTCTCGAGACTGAAGGATGCCTAATTTGAATGTGTGTACATAAACATGTACTAGCAAAAATGTTTTAAGCTCATTCAGGAAAGAATGTGGCTCCCTGGAGAGAACTGGTGGGAACGTAACAGAATTCAGGGCTCTTCCTTTCAACTCTGGATGCAAAACTTAAGACAGGCCAAACTTAAGTTTAGAAAAATACTCTGTATTTACATATGTCACTTAAGCAGCTTATCTTCAGCATAACAGCTTATCCATATACAGTAGCTGGTCACTCACAACCCAGTATAACACAACAGCATGACTGCTCCTATACCAGAGCAACCTGACTGACTGTTCCTGAACCAGAGCAGTAAAGTAATGCTCTGACAGAGCTTCCTTTATACAGAGAAAAAGCCTCTGTAATCAGCAACACCTGCCCAAGGTGAGCCTCTGACTCTGCCTGTTAACCAGCAACAGGTGTAAGTTTGTACTTTATATACATTCTTCCTTACATATTTTACTTACATGAGTACATTTCATATGTTGAAGACTTCAATTTACAATATAGTGGCCTGCTCCATGACAAATATCTTGACACACTCTAGTCCAGATCTTCCGAATTTTTGTGTCACAGCACCCCTTGCAGTGGCCTGTGGCTCCCTGGTGCACCACCAACTTAGCCAGGAGCAAAGTGGAAGCTTTTCTTGTTTTTTTTTTGTTTTTTGTTTTGTTTGTTTGTTTGTTTGTTTGTTTTGCTGAGCCAGCGGCACCTGTGCTGCTGCTGCTGGTGGTTCTGACTCTTTTATGCTTCTTTGCTTCCCGCTCCCTCCTGCACCCCCTCACCACTCTTCCCGCCCTGCCGCCACCACTGCCATTGTTCAGGGGAACTGTGAGGGGGGAAAAGTTTGGGAACCAGTGCTCTAGTCTAACCCGACTAAGCAGTGCTTTCAGGGAGTTCCAAAAAATTTGCAAGGTTACCTACTTGACTCTCAGGCCAACCCTTGTGGTGTGGAACTGCCTGCCACCACACTCACAGAAATATAGACTCAAGACAAGACCTGGTTTTAAGTACCTCAACCCCCCCCCCCTTAGCCAAATATCTAGAAAACTGAGTGGAGAAAATTTATATTTTATTAAAGGTAGTGAAAAAGGACAAAAGCTTAATAAAAACATTCAAAAGGGTTCGAAAATATTTGGAGCAAACAATCAGTAAGAATCTAAGGCAATCAGCATAGTCTCAGAGAATACCCAGAGTGCCTACCTCCCTCCCAGCACAGCATAACAGGACAACAACTGAACGTGGGGCCTCCAAAGATAACTTCAGGGCCTCTGAAGATAAAGCCAAGGCAACTTAAACACACAGACTGAAATCCTGTGTTGTCGCTAGGTAAAGGTTCCCCTTCACAATTTTTGTCCAGTCGTGTTCGACTCTAGGGGGCGGTGCTCAGCCCCGTTTCCAAGCCATACAGCCAGCATTTGTCCGAAGACAATCTTCCATGCTCACATGGCCAGTGCGACTTAGACACGGAACGCTGTTACTTCCCGCTGAGGTGGCACCTATCTATTCCCATTTGCATGCTTTCGAGCCGCTAGGTTGGCGGGAGCTGGGACAAGCGACGGGCGCTCGCTCCGTCGTGTGGATTCGATCTTACAGCTGAAGATTTACAGACTTTACAGCATAGAGGCTTCTGCAGTTTAACCCGCAGCGCCACCACATCCCTGCAGCGCCACCACATCCTTTTGTTGTGTCGCTACACCTGCATAATTCAAGTTGCAGAAGGAGTAGCAAAAATTATGCCAAGGTGGAAGTCATGTCTAACAAGGAGTTCTGCAGGTGTGTTGCACAATGAACTGTGCCATCAATTGTGCAGTCAGCCACACAATGCCGACTGCCGGGGCCTAACCCCCTGCAAACCTTATGCTGTGCCAATTGCAATAGGAGTTTAGCCAATGTGTCAAACAATGCAGCAGAACAATCAGGAGGCTGTGTCTAGAGACGATCAAGCTTAGCCCACAAATGTGGGAGGTACGCAATATCGTATTGGGCTGAAGGCTTTCAGTCTTTTAATTGAATTTCTCCAGAACCTGCTTCCCTAAAATGTGCAGCTGCAGATCACTCTCACTGCCACAACTTGCCCGTTGCTGGGACGGTGCTGAATATTGTGTGTGTCTCTCTCTGTCTCCCTTTCTCATTTCAATACCTGGTGCTGAAATGGTGTCCTCACGAATGGATGCAGAACAATCAAGTAAACTCCTGGCTTGCTTTGCCTTGCAGGGAGTCCGTGGCTTGTATAAAGGGATGGCAGCTCCTATTGTTGGAGTAACCCCAATGTTTGCTGTCTGCTTCTTTGGATTTGGCCTGGGCAAGAAACTCCAGCAGAGGACCCCTGACGACGTCCTGACGTGAGTGATGGAATGCCTCCAATCCTTTAGAAAGGTCTTTAAAAAGCTTTTCAGCCTGTTGTGGTTTCAGTTTTTTGTGTAAAATTACATATTCTGGCACTGTCGCCCCAAATGGTGTTATTTCTTCACTCCCTTGCTACAGATATAGTAGTTTTTTTCCTCTCTCTCTCTCTCTCTCTCTTTTGCTAAATGAATAAATCTGGCACGTTTCAGGGCTCCATAAAGCGTGGGACTGATTGCCCTGGCTATAAACAGACACGGTGTGGGTTGGTGCTGCATAGTTCTCTTCCCAGGCAATACTTGCATCTTTTTAGGAAGGATGTATTTTAGATGAATAGGGTGTGTGTTATATAATGGGAGGATTGTAGTACTTCCTCTTAAACAGTGAGCCTGAACACATCAATCATATAGTTCTTTGTCAAGAAAGGCGTTCTGCAGAGCCCCCACACCTGGTGGCTCACGTAGTAGAGCCTTACTCCCTGGATCCATCTGTCCCTGACAACCTTAGTTTCTCCAAATAACTGACCATCCAGATTGCTCTGTTTATTGCAGAACCTGGGAAGCCTCCGGGCCTGATATTTTTTTTTAAGTTGTATTTTGCAGTTTGTATAAAAGCAGTAGTGGTAAGATTCAGATCTAACATTTTGGATAGGGTGATGGAACATAAGAGTGCAGAGGTTTCTGGACAAAATGTTCTCATCAAGATATAAAGAATCTGGTGACAGAAGTTGGTTTGATTGCCTGACATAGCCAAGGGAGCATTTTCACAGGGAGCTTAGCTTTTTTAAAAATACCTCTTGGCTACAGAATCTTGCTGAGCTTGCCTAGCTTTCTGATGGTTCTGTTCTTGACTCCCAAAAGTTTAATGCTTAAGAACTGGTGTTCCACTAGGTAGAATTTGCCCTGGGGAGACACTTTAGGGCAGTGGTTCTTAACCTTGGGCTACTCAGGAGTTTTTGGACTGCAACTCCCAGAAGCCTTCACCACCAGCTGTGCTGGCTGGGGTTTCTGGGAGTTGTAGTTCAAAAACACCTGAGTAACCCAAGGTTAGGAACCACTGCTTTAGGATTCCTCCTGATCCTCCTTCTTTTTTACTTGGAGTCACATGGGAGAAATAGTGCTAAGACTTTGGTCAAGGTACCATCAGAATAAGGTTGATAACACATTGTTTCTCCTTTTTGTCCGAATTGCATGAGATTTAATTAGATTTCTACCCTGCCCATCTAGACCAAAGGTCTACTCTGGGCGGCAATGGGATGGGATGGGTGACTCTTTGGTAGATCTTGGAGGAGTTCCCTCTGTGTAAGACAGCTTTTAGAAGCCACCAGCTACTAGCATGTGGGATGGGTGACTCTTTGGTAGATCTTGGAGGAGTTCCCTCTGTGTAAGACAGCTTTTAGAAGCCACCAGCTACTAGCATGTCCAGGTTTCAAAGCTGTGTAGTCAAGACCAGTGGTTCTTAACCTTTGTTACTCGGATGCTTTTGAACTGCAACTCCCAGAAACCCCAGTCAGGACAGCTGGTGGTGAAGGCTTCTGGGAGTTGCAGTCCAAAAACTCCTGAGTAGCCCAAGGTTAAGAACCACTGCCCTAAAGTGTCTCCCCAGAGCAAATTCTACCTAGTGGAACACCAATTCTTAAGCATTAAACTTTTGGGAGGCCATGTTTCAAAGCTGTGTGGTCAAAGACCACGATGGGTCTGGATGAATTGGCTAAAATGTCCAGGTGAAAGAGGATCTGGTGCTTCTCTTTGTTTGGATAGCTCAGTGGCTAAGGTATCTGACTGCAGAACCAGAGATGGGGAGTACGATTCTCCTGTCTACCTCCTGTGAGTAAAGCCAGCCTGTGTGGCCTTGGGCATCTCTAGAGGAAGGGAACAGCAAACCCACTTCTGAGTATTCTCTACTTGGAAAGCCCTAAAAGTCAGGGTTTTCCATAAGTCAGAATGGACTAGACTGCACATTATTATTATTTGTTTTGATCAGATTGCAATGCAATCTGTCTTTCATGCAGGACGCAAGATAGAAAGTCAGAGGGCGCTGTCAGATCCCGTGTTGTTTCTGGATTGTGAGGGCATTTTCAGTCATGGTCCCTTCATTGTGAAATAGCTTTTCAAGGAAGTCTCGGTCGCCGCTTTTTTCATTTTGTGTTTTACAAAGTTAATTCAGACCATTTCTTTCTTCCCCTGAGAAGTAATTGGGAAATGTTTTGTTCCTGACTTGTAGACATCGATAGGAATCTAATGCTATTATAGGTTTGTAATTGTTGCTCATGCTGTCTTTTTATTTTTAATTGGATTGTATTTTTTTTTAATTGTTGTGAAATGCCCTGAGGTTGTTTCTGAAGCACTTGGTGGGATATAAATGGGCATGAAGGGAGTGATGAAATTATCATTTAATTGCGCCATTAAATTTTGTTCAGGACATCGATTTTCTTGGCACAGAACTGGGCTTTTAAATTGAAACTGAACAGCCTGCTAGAATAGCTTTTTTGGAAGAAGAATGCTAGTGTTTTTAATTCTTTTTGCTTAGGAAAAGGAATGGACTTTGAAAAGAAAGACGCGTTTCCCAACCACGGTTGACAATGAGTTAACCTGGCAAGTCCTGATTGTTTCCTTAGGTGGCGTTTAGGAAAACGTCTGTCCCATGATTAATCTCCAGTCATCCTTGTGCAGGTATCCTCAGCTATTCGCAGCAGGCATGCTATCTGGAGTGTTCACTACAGCAATTATGGCTCCAGGAGAGAGGATCAAGTGCCTTCTACAGGTAAGGGAGGCCTGAGGAAACCTTTTCCTTTCCAGGAAGCATCTCTCAGCATTACAGAAGGTTCACAGCCTCTTACTTTTTTGTTACCCAAATTCACTTTGTGTCCTTCTTCATACTTTACTTGGAGATAAGCATCAGCTCTTGAACAAGTTACTTTTGTGAACATCTCCCACACCAGAGCACAGAGTGCTGTCCTCTGAAGATGCTGGCCACAGAGACTGGCAAAACCTTCAGAACACGGCCAAAGAGCCTGAAAAACCCACTACAACCATCTCCCAGATTCTTCCTGCTATAGGATTCTGGGAGGTGTAGTCCAGAATAGTATTTTTTTCCACACTTTGATGTGTATGGTTCTTTCTCCTACCATGTGTTTGATTAGAGCAGCTGGGACGATCTTGTTTGGGGGATTCTGGGAAATGTAGTTTAAAAAAATAACATTTCTAAGCTCTTTCATAACACTGTGTAACCTCATTGACCACATTTTCTTAATGTTTGGGATGCCCCCTGGCCCTTATAAAGGCCAGGCCCAAACATGCTGAGGAAGATTTCTTTCTCTGGATCAGTGAGAGAAGTGGGAGTTCATTCTCAGCACATGAAAATACTTGAATGCACAGAATCAGCTTTCTCATTGTTTCTCATCTCCTTATCAAAAGATCTCCCCAATAGTCTCTGTATTGTCCTGCCTTCAGAAAATCTTCAATTATCCACATCTATTTCTTTTTGCTCCTATAAAAAGTTAGCTTGTTTCTTTCCAAATACTCCCACATCTGGAATGTCCCTCAGGGCTGAAAAGGAGGCTTATGATTACAGGCAGTGATCTTCATAGAGAGGTTTTCTTGGAATAAGTAATGGTATTTGGAAGCCTGCAGACAGAAGTCAAAGTACTAGGAAGGAGGCAGCCCAGAGTTTGCTAGTTTCTTTCCCCCCATTTTGATACCTAACCGTCCCTTAGCATCCCATCTCACAAGCTGTTTTTGAGGAAATATAGAGTGTCATAGACCTGTCCTGCAGCAGTTTTGATTTTTGGAGCATTGAGGTATTTAAGTTATAGATGATGAGAAAAATCTTTATTTTCTGCCACTTAGATCCAGGCAGCTTCAGGTGAAATTAAATACAGGGGACCTTTGGACTGTGCCAAACAGATTTATCGTGAGGCTGGCATTCGAGGCGTGTACAAAGGAACATTTCTTACTCTCATGAGAGGTAATGGCTGGGAAAGTGTTCTTAGAGCATCTGTGTTAAACGGTGAGGGACTGACACATCCCACCTTCGGTGCTGTATAATGATAGAAGATATTCTCTTTCTGGCTTGTTTTCTCCACTAAATCCGAGTGTTGGATTCATTTTAATTCAAAGCACAAGGCAATGTTTTGTGCCATTTTTCAGAATTCTGTGAATGGTGAACTGGTGGGATTTGCCTTCCTTAATGGCCAAGTTTTAGGTTTTGAATTTCTTTTGAAACAGTTTCTTATGGTGCCTCTAATTTCTCTGTGTTTGCCTTTTTTTCTTTTTCTTTTTTTTTGATCAGATGTTCCAGCCAGTGGAATGTACTTCATGACTTACGAATGGTTGAAAAATATTTTGACACCCGAAGGGCAAAGGTACATTGAATTTCTCACAAATATATTCATGATGTTCTTCCTTCTGCAGAATAAAAACTTCATAGTGACTGCCAAAAATGATACTGTGTATAAGAAAGCTATTTGGCATTGATATACTAGCTGAAATCCTGGTGATTGGTATAGTAAGTCGCACTTACATAGGCTCCTTGAATCAGTGGAGATATGGTAAGCCAGTGCCTCCATAATTTGCAATGATTTAAATGGGCCCCTTCTAATTGTGACTTCCTAAGCTAAAATTACCATATTTTTCCATGTACAGTATAAAACAACATTTTTTTCTTAAGTAATTAGACAAAAAATTGAGGGTTTTATACACGGAAGGTAGCCGCATTTCCTTGCCTTTTGCGAAGCCACAGGGCTTAGCCAGTAGCTACATTTCCTTGCCTTTTTAGCTTAGCTAAAAAGAAGGGAAGGCTCCCTTCGGGTAAAGCAACTGTGAAAGGGCTGCAGGATCACAGCCCTTTGATCCTGAAGCCCTTTCCTGGCTGCTTTACCCACTTCCTAAGCCCTGTGAGACTTAGGAAAGGAGCCAGGGAAGGGCTTCAGGATCAAAGGGCTGTGATCGTGCAGCCTTTTCATGGCTGCCTTACCAGAAGGGAGCCTTACCTTCCTTTTTGCTAGGCCTTGTGGCTTTGCAAAAGGCAAGGAAAAGTGGTGGTCAAAGGGAGTCCTTTGATCCCTGCTTTTCCCTTCCTTTTGGTAAGCTCCATGGCTTAGCAAAAAGAAGGGAAAAGCAGGGACCAAATTTTCTAATTTGGGGTTAGAAAAGGGGGAGTCGTCTTATACATTGGGTTGTCTTATAAACAGAAAAATACAGTAATTGCATGTAGAGTATGCCTATTTGAATCAATGGAATGGAGGAATGAGTCACCAGTCTCCACTGATTCAGACAGCAAACTCTAGTGTGATTTACTACACTAAGCAACGGGATTTTGGTCATTGAGTCCTAAGGACCAAACCATCTCCTTCCTGAAACTAGATGTGAATACAGATTTTTTGGGGGGTGTGTGTGTAAGGATAGTGCAATGGATTTGTGATATAGTTTTTTTGCAAATGTTTTAATTCATGGTGCTAATGTTGAAATTCATTTTCTCCCTTAAGAAGTGTAAAGGACAGTTGTTTGCTGAACAGTTGTTTACAGATTCCAGTTGGAAGCAATTCTTACTTGCCCAGTACACTACACTGAGCAACAGGATTTCAGCCAATGTCTTTCATGTGACTGAGGTACTTCACATGTTCTATGCCAGTGGTCTTTCCAGCAGGGTTGGCAAACATCAGCAAGTACACCATAGACCAAGAGCAGAATATTTGAATTCATAAATAGTAACCGTGACAGATATTTTTTTTTCTCTAGGCAGAATTTTTTTTCACCTTTGGAAAGGAATACAATTGGAAATACATTCGTGTGGGTCCTTTGTTCTCTTGTTCTTCTGCAGTATCTTTCTTTTCAATCCATCCTTAGGCGCCTTTGCAAAGTGTATAAGGACCGGGGAGGGGGAGCCCTGCTAGCACATAATGTAACTTGACCACATGTTAAATCATTTATATTGAGTGTAAATTGTATGCTGTGGATATTGGGTCCTGGTAAGAGTCAGCCCTGAAGCCAGTGGTGCATTGGTAGATGCCAGTTATTACAACAAGGCTTCCTTCTCTCCCTCCTGCAGCCCTACCGGAAGTGTGCTGTAGAGCAGATCTTGAGAGCAGATAGGGGACTGCAGGAGGATAGGGGAAAATTCACCCTCATTATTTTGCTGGAAAAAGCTGTTTATTTAGCGGATTGATCTATTATGATCTTGCCACTGCTTTTTTGTAAAAGGCCGTTTTTGTCACCCGATGACGAAAGAAAAGTTTGCATATCTGGGAGGCAGTTTCTCTTTGAATACTCAGAACGAAGCCAGGGAGTCAAGGGAGCTTCTGAGCACCATATGGTTTTCTTGGGTGTCCCCTGTCCCTGTTTGCTCCTCCCAGTGCCTTTTCTGGCTTGCGCCACCTCAGAGGATCTCATCTAAATATTCCATGCAAAGAAGAAACAACAGTGTTGTAGTGAAAGAAATGGGGCAAATATGTGTCATTTGTAAAGACATGAGGTTGGGGATGAGGTACAAGCTTGTGTGTATTCATTTTGTAATATTAAGAAGTTTTGACCTTTGCAAATGGAATAGAACTCCCTCTTGTGGTACCCTAAACACTCAACCACAGCTTATACCATAAGCCTTTGATTTTCCAGATGTATTGGCCTTCAACTCCCAGAAGCCCAAGTCAGCATGGCCAATGGTAAACAGTTGTAGGCCAAAACATGAGGATGGCCAAAATTTCCACATCTCTGAGGACTTTGAGGACTAGATCCTAGTGCACTAATAGGACAGTATACAAGTGAAATACACACACACACACACACATAATCCAAAATATAAGCATTGTCCTTAAGATGCAGGACAGATTGTGAACAGTGGGGGCAGATGGCACTTAAAAGTTTACCTACACAACATAGTTTGATGCTGGTTTAAAGTGTCAGAGTACTATCCTACAAGAATCCTGAAAGTTGTTATTTTGTGAGGCCCTTTGTTTCCTTTGCTGGAAAACTTTTGTGTTGCAGTTGAGGTAAGCACACCAAAGTTCTCTAGCAAAGAAATTCTAAGTGCCACATAAAGCTCAAAGTCCCAGGATTCTACAGGACTGAACCATTCTGGTTAAAAGGGTGCCAAGGTGATTAACTGTATTACATAGGGATAAGCTTTTTAAAATTATTTCTTGGGCTACAAATCTCGTAATTCTCCATTCTGGGAGACAGACATTTGGCTGACATCTAAATGTTGCCTAGCTGGGAGAAAGGCCTATGGTTGAAGTCCTAGTAGCCTACTTCTGTCCAAGCTTCCTGTTCCTGCCCCAATTCTAGCTGGGAGCTAGCTTGCTTTCTTGCTTTATCCAATTCGACTTGTAGGCCACCCACACTCTGCAAGAGTCTCCGGGCGGCTTCCAACATCAATTTAAAATAATTCAATTAAAACAATTCACTAAAAACCAATACAGATATAACAAAAACAATCTACAAAAAACAATCTAGATCCATAACTATCAATTCAAACTAAAATTAAAATTAAAACCTTCAATTAATAACTTCAATTTTTTTTTTTAAAAAGGAAGCTTGACAGGAAGCTGGGTGGAGCTAGGCCTGGGTAAGCCCCAGAGTCATCCCTTTGAAGCCTTTCTCCCAGGTAAACCACATTTAGGTGTCTGTCAGGTAGAACTCTCAGAAGGGAAAAGTATGGACTTCTAGTCCAAGTAATCCCAAAATCCAATTCCAAGTAGTGCACATGTACCCTACATCTCGGGTATATAACTCTAATATAGGTGCCCTCCAGATCTGAAAGCTAGCCTGTACATTTCAGTTAGCACTTAAATGCGTGCAGGGTAGATGAGAGCATGAGTCGTCTGCCACAGCAGTAAAGGTAAAGGTTCCCCTTGACAATTTTTGTCCAGTCGTGTCCGACTCTAGGGGGCGGCGCTCATCCCGCTCTTCAAGCCATAGAGCCAGCGTTTGTCCGAAGACAATCTTTCCGTGGTCACATGGCCAGTGTGATTTAGACACGGAACGCTGTTTACCTTCCCACCGAGATGGTACCTATTTATCGGAATAATGCTTCTCACTATCTCTTTCCTTCTCCCCTCCCCCCCTTTGTTCATATATTTGCAGTGCCAGTGACCTCAGTGTACCTCGGATTCTTTTTGCCGGTGGCATGGCAGGGATTTTCAACTGGGCTGTTGGGATTCCTCCAGATGTGTTGAAATCCCGGTTCCAGACAGGTGAGTCTGCAGCTGACTTGTTTTGGCGCCGAGAGGCAGAAAGAATCTTGAAGGTATGTTCTAGGCAGAGATTTCTGGCAAGAATGGAGAGCCGGTGTGGTGTAGTGGTTAGACTGCAGGAGTAGAAAGGGGGGGGGATACATGAGTTCAAATCCCAACTCAGCCATGAAACTCCCTGGGTAACCTTGGGCCAGTCACTCCCTCTGTGTGACCTACCTCGCAGGACTGTTGTGAGAATAAAGTGGAGAGGAAGACAACCATGTGTGTTCTGTCCCTTTCCCCCCCATTTCCAGGTAACTATTAGTAGACAGCAAGTATGATAGGAAAGGATTAACTTGACCCAGGCAGATCCTGTTGCAGGTCATTGACCCTTCCTTATCACACATGTATCTCCTGGTAGTTACCTGGAAAATGAAATAGAAAAACAGATGCATTGGAACAAGAGGGGCCTAAGATGCATTGCTAATTCATCCTAACACAATCTGAGGAAAGATGGAGGTGGTACAGAGGAAGGGAATTTCTAGCCTCCACTTCCAGTTTTGAAACATGGCTATGTTTTCCTGTGAGGTTGCCCCGCAGCCTCTGTACAAGGTGAATAGTTGTTCTCAGGTGATCCATCAATGGTTTTTTTCCCCTTTAGGAAACCCTTTTTGTTTTGCTTCTTTTGACAGTTTAATCAAGAGAAGTCTAGGAAAAAGAGCCATTGGATTGTATGTCATCCCAGGGCCCATTTTGATCACCCCCGACTTATAACCGTCAGGCAGAGTGTTTGATGCCAATCTGCTCTATCTTCTCTGGACAGACAGTGCCATTCGTTTCATGGCCTGTGCACTGCTTGACACATTGTGGTATATCAGCACCCAAGTCATCATTGTTATCCTGAGGGAACATTTAGAACCCTGCACCAAAATGTAGAGAGAAGAAGCAGTAATGGCATTGGGTGGAGGGGACAGAGTCTGCAATGTGGGTGTCTGTGTTGGCTGGTCTGTTCTGGGAGTTAGAATCCCAAAGGTTAATTTTTCCAACCTCTAATGTATATATAATTATTTTCTACATCAACAGCCCCTGCAGGAAAATATCCCAATGGCTTCAGAGATGTTTTACGAGAGCTTATCCGAGAGGAGGGGGTCATGTCTTTGTACAAAGGCTTCACCGCAGTGATGATCAGGGCCTTTCCTGCCAATGCAGTAAGTGAACAGTGGCTTTTAGTGTGGGTTTGGAGAGTTAAAATTCTCCCCTATATGGAGCTTTGCCCCTCTCTTCCTTCTACAAGCTACTCCCATTTCCAGCAACAAAGCAAGCCCGTCCACTGCCAATCCTAACACATTAACTTAGTGTTCCATCCAGACGAGAGGGTTATAGCAAGCGATCACATATTTATTTATGTAGGCATAGTTATGGCCACTTTTCAGCTCATAACGAGATCACAAAACTGGCTGGCAATCAATAAAATAAGCCATTAGAGTTCATGCAAGCAAGCCAGAGAAGCCACATTGCTACAGAGAAAGGCATGTTAGAGGTAAACATTTAGCTCAGCATTGAAGCCAGTCCCCAGCAAAAAAATGTATTGTGCTGGTTATGTGGCAGGAAAAGTATGCTAAAGCAAAGTAGCTATTTTAGCAAAGACTTAGGTATACATTAACCATGTACTCTGACAACTATGAATAAACGTGGGCAAGCGAAATCATGTGCTGCAGACATAGAGTTCCAGAGAAATGTATTAAGTAAATCCCTTAAAAAGCACATAACTGCAGGCTTTGGAGATCACCAGGCCTGCCCATCAGAAGCGGTGTTGCAAAAGGCAATGAGGAAGTGAGAAGAAAAACAGGTAAAGGTTCCCCTTGACAAATGTCCAGTTGTGTCCGACTCTAGGGGTGGTGCTCATCCCTGTTTCCAAGCTGTAGAGCCAGCGTTTGTCCATAGACAGTTTCCGTGGTCATGTGGCCAGCGTGACTAGACATGGAATGCCATTACCTTCCCCCTGAGGTGGTACCTATTTATCTACTCACGTTTTTACATGCTTTCAAACTGCTAGGTTGGCAGGAGCTGGGACAAGTGACGGGAGCTCACTCCATCGCGTGGATTCGATCTTACGATGGCTGGTCTTCCCACCTTACAGCACAGAGGCTTCTGTGGTTTAACCCGCAGCGCCACCATTTGCTCTAAATGAATACTTTGCCCGATATCCTGTTGGATTATCCATGTGCAAAATGGAAGTTGCGGAAGCAGCTATGGCTATTTGGCCAAATAACAGTGGACGCGTCCGCATTGTCCACTCCACACACAGTCGATCCAACAGGATACTGGGCCTAAAAATTATCCATAGTAACACTTTACAAACAATGAAGCATTATTGGGTGGAAGCTTTTGTGGACCATTCTGCATCTGATGAAGTGGGTTGCAATCCACAAAAGCAGTCGAGGATTATTCATGGCAAATAAACTTGCTAACCTTTCAGGTGCCACAAAACTCTTTTAACATTTTTGCTGCAACAGGCTAACAGAACCATCATCCTTCAACAGGCTCATGAAGCGAGAAGTGGACTTTGAAATTACCCAACTTTGAAACTACCCAAATGCACACATTAATTCCTATCATTCTTAGAAGTAACCTTCTCCTAATAAAAAACATCTGAAAAAAAAAAATCTGTTATGTATCATCCTCCCCCCATTGTTTTTTTTTCCAGGCCTGTTTCCTTGGTTTTGAAGTTGCCATGAAGTTTTTTAACTGGCTTGCACCAAATCTGTAAGAACCAGAAGGATGTGTTCCTAAGGAAACTCAAGGACAAGAGGAAGAATGCAAAACCGAATTATGACATGAAAGACGCCATGGAAACGACTAGTTTTTTTGAATAACCTTTTTAATGCCTTACCGACACCCTCTGGGTGGTGCGGATGTTTCCGTTTGGAACCTTGAGCCAAATCGCTTCTCTTGAAGAGAAGTTCAAAATATATGTACCTGCCTTCAGAACCCAAAGTTACCATAGTGGTAATGTTGCTAATAGAAAACCTATTTGCTATTAATAGTTACGATTTTAACATTTCAAAATGGGGGGTGGGCAGTCCCCCCCCCAATTAATTTTTTTTCTTTTTTTACTTACCTCTTTGTGTAAAAAGGGAAGAAGATACAAACTTCTTCTTTTAAATTCAGGAACAAAGTGACAGAATCCCTGAGTGGGAATGAGTTGGTAAGAGCTGGAATAGAAACAACCACTTTGCACTTAATTCTCAGGATCGAACGTATCATTTAATTGCATGTGCTTTGATTTACAGTTACTGGACACAGTCTGTCATGATTCTTCTGCATGCTTCATTATATCCAAGGGATATAATGATGGAAGGCCCTGATTATAAGCGTTTCCTTTGGTTGTTTTGAGGTATACGATCCTCAGTCAGTAACATCTTGGTGCCACTTGGAATAAGTTCATCTAAACCTGAGACGGGCAGCATCTGCCCTTATATATGTTTTTTAGACTACCATTCCCATAATCCTTCGTTTTGAACTATGTAGGCTAAGGCTGATGGGATTTGCACCCCAAAATCAGCCGAAGGGCCACATTGGCCCACCCTGATATAAAAGATAAATTGGCAGAATCTTGGAGCGTTTAATCAAAGGTTTTCTTTAACAGTTCCTGAAATTATTAGTTGTGGTGGACAGCTGGTGCAGAAATAGCCTTTTACTAAAAATAATTAATTAATAAATCGTTTTTTCCAAATGGTGCTTCCTGAGGTGACTGTAAAAGTACTGTAGCTGCTCAAGTACCGTGGGATACCATGGTTATAATTTGGAGTGTCAAGTGCTGAATGTTCAGAAAGTATCTATGCATGTATGATAATGTTTTTAAAGCAGTTTTATAAAACCGTGTATCTGAAGTTGGAGGATGCTGCTGAAATAGCAGAACTATTTTCAGAGCAATTATATTACCACTTCAGTTGTGCCTCACAAGGATTTTATTATATGCAATCACATATATCTCACATGCATATGTATGCATGTATGTATATAAGTAAGATCACTGAAAATCCTCCTATGCGCAGGTAACAGAGGCAGGACTTCTACGGAATTCATCACGTGTCAAGTAATTCATTGGGAATGAAACATTAATGTTCAGGTCTTAATAAAGTTTGCTGATTCTCAGCCAGAACAAGGCTTGGTGTTCTTGTTTGTTCTGCATTTTAGAACTAGTCCAACCAGCTTAGATCAGTTACTTGTTGGAACTGCAACCTCCCAAATCTCTCAGGAAACTTAATCACAGTCATACTCCAGTAAAATAAAATAAAAATAAATTAAATGTTTAAAATCTCTTTTCCAACAGTGCTCTTTTTCACAGAGGTTGGTTAGATGTGTTGTTAACCAGTGAAATGGGGACTGCTAACTTTTAAAATTCACTCACAGTTTCATGACTATAGCTTTGTATCTTGCAAAATATGAGCTACATCTGGATGTCTGAAGTTAGCATGTTAAGAGTATAATTGGTCATTTCCCTATTTGTGAGAAAGGAGACATGGGGGGGGCAGGGCAAAACCTTTGTCCGCCTGCCATCTCCTCTTCCGAAGGAAACCATGGACATTCCACCCTCCAGTTCCACCAGGGGAGGAACCCGCCAGAAAGACCTTACAGTCCTGGAACTTTACAAAGCCTGGGAAAAAGAACAGCAGATGATGGAGGAGGAGCCAAAGGAGGAAGAAGGGATGAAAGAGGAAGGAAAGAAAGGGATTGAAAGAGATAATGCACGGCGTCAAAAGACAGAGCCTTGTATAGCAGAGGTGGAACGTGTTAGTAGGTTTAGTCCCCCAGAGAATTGGGAGTGGTAACAAAGGGAGACCTATGGATTTGATCCAGAGGTCCCAAAGAAGAGGCAGAAAGACAAAATCAACACCAAGCTCTCCGCTAAAATGTCATTTTGGGTTTAGTGGCGATGGAAAAAATGGGAGCAAAATTCTGGAGGACCTGTGCGGTCTATGGAGAGACCATGGAACCTTTTTCTAGAGACCGGCAACTTAATGCCTTGTTCATGGGGGGGGGGAGAGGGAAGTGAGGAAAAAGGGGGACACGGAGGAACTTAATGCCTTGTTCTTGGGGGAAAGAGGGAAGTGAGGAAAAAGGGGGACACGGAGCAGAATTAGAGATGGACCAGACATTTCTGTTGCAACACCTCTTGTTTTGTGGGACGCTGCGCCCTCACCCTGGCGACCTAAGGAAGATCTTTTTGGGAGCCATGCCAGGAAGTAGATAAGCCAGAGTGGACTGTCCAGGGAGACAGGAATAGTAAACCATGGTTGATCAGTTGTTGAAGTTGAACCATTGGAAGTTATTGTTGAAAAGTTCCGTTTGGAGTTAATAACAGTGGTTGATTTGAAAACTCCATCATTGGTGAGATAATGTGAACTGTTGACATGGAAGGGATGAAAGGGGATGATGCTATTGTGGTATTGCTTTTCCCAGCAATATATTGCATCAAGTTGATGCTTAGATCATCTAGGGAAATACTAACAATTCAGCTTTTCCCCAGAACTGTAGCAGGCTTGGAGGATGGAGAGGAGCAAGGAAACTTTAAAGGCAAGCTCTTTCAAACTATTTCAGTACCAAGTCCCTCCTTGGCATTGTGAGTCTCTAAATGCAGCTGCAGCTTATTAAAACAATATAGCGTATGTGCTGTTGTTATGGGGCCAAAGGACCATTCATGCTGAATATTAGGCTGCGTGTTTAAGCCCTGTGCAAACTGGACTTCTTTTGGGAAGAACACGAGGACTTTGCAGGAGCTATGACCAATGGATAACAGCACTGCTGGGCAGTTGACTGTAGTTGCCCTTTAAATTTTCCACAGTGCCTCTAACATTGTGACCCAAATTCCGTTGCTTAGTGTAATAAACCACACTAGTGTAGGCCCATTGAATCAAAGGAGATTTGGTGAGTCATGTCGTCCATATGTTCCATTAATACTGATTGTGACCTTGTATGCCAAAGCAAGTCAAAGAACAGGTCCATTTGAATCAACAGAACTTATGGAGGAGCTGACTCGTCAAATCCACATTGATTAGATGGGCCTATTCTGGTGCAATTTACTACACTGAGCGACAGGACATTGGGCAGTGTTGCTCTGTGGGAGAGGAAAGAACATCCAACCCCTTTGGGCCTACTCCAACCTGCTGAAGATACAGGTGCCCTGATGAAAAGTCTCTTCCCAAAGCTTCAGCCTCCACAAGGTGGGAGAGTTCCCCGTGCAATTCCTGTTTATGTTGGCAAGGAGCTGGTATCTATCCCCTGTCCTGCCTTATTTACATTTTGCTGATAGAAGATTTTTTAAAAATTCTATCTGCCTAAGGTGGGTAGAACTCCATGCCTCTTTCTGCATGAAGGGGAAATTGATGTTGGAGGATGAAGAAGGGAAGGGGCCAGGGAAAAGCAGATTCCATCCCTACTCAGCACCTTGATATATTAATCCTACTATCTGTTCACCCTGCATCTGTCAGGGGCTGATGTTTCCAAGACCACTGTGGGAATTAAAATGGCAACTAGAGGTCATTGTTTAAATACTGATCCATGCACCAGCTGGATCATGAGTGTGGCTCAGAAGGGTGCACGATCTGTAACGTGTGGAGGTATGTGTCACCATGTCACATGTGTCCATGTGTTTGGTGAAATGGGTAATGTTCCACGAAATCTCACACTGGGAAAAAAAAACTTAATTTTTAAGATGACACAATACTTTCAGTTTTGATATTAAGGTTGTTTCTGTTAAACAAAGGGAAGGAGGAGAAAAAGCAGCACTGCATCAAAACAACATATTTGTAATTGTTTATTACAAGATTGCAATGGCCCAGTGCTATACATAATGATTTTAATAAGGCCCAGAGATTGAGTTGCCCTTATTAATTGATGCGAACCAGCTAGAGTATGCATGTACAACTGGCATGATTATTCTTCACCTGCCATCAGGCCTCTATTACGTTGCCAAAATAGCAAGTAACAAATGAAGTTAATAAAGCTTAATTGTAAGAAACTGGGTAAATTTAATTGGATCAGATCCTTCACAATATTTATTTCTCATACTGTGGCAGCCCAAATTGAGTGAAGAACATAGACAGACTCTTCAGCATTTATAGAAAGGGAGAATTACAGTTTGGCATTATCTAACCTGCTTTCAGGGTATTTATTCTGGACATGAAGCAAATAATGCACATTTGATTGATATGCATGATTTTTTCTAGTGGTTATATTCCAAACTATCTTTAACAGTATTTGGGTAACATTACTCTTTAGGATACAGATGTCACAGCAAGAGCACAGAAATAACAGATAATAATATTAGCTTTAATGCTTTACTATTTGGGGTAATGATGACGTGATGTTCCTTTTTCACCGTTACATAAAAGCTGTAGAAATGGGGGAGGGGGCAGCAAAAATAAGGACTTCTAGCTCGCATTTTCAGATGAGCATTCAGTGAGTAATATCTATTCAATATTCTTTCTTGTTACTTCACAGAGAATTTTTAAAGTTTAGGCCAATTTCTTACCTTTTTAGATTGATATTTTTTTAAAAAAAAGATAATTAAAATAAATGAAAAGGTAAGCAGTGTCAAAAAATTAATGTAGTTAACTACTTTTAAAAAAATCTCTTATATTTATTGCCATTTTCAATGTCAGAATGAAGGACACAAATCTGACATCTGACATGACACCAGATACTGTAGAAAACAATTTCGGAACACTTAGTTTACCTTGGACATTCTGCTGTTTTAGAAATCAAGGAATTACAAAGGGGGGCTCAAGATGGAGACAGCAGACATTGGCTACATTGACAAAGTCTAGTGAATCTCTAAGGGCTTAAATGCATGTATATATTTATATATTGGTTGGACTTATATGCCGCCCGTCTAGTGGCAAGCCACTACTCCGGATAGCTACAACAAAGGGAAGACAAATATACTGAAAAAATTAAAATAATATATATGTAAAAAACCTAAGGACTCACCCTAAAAGCCCCTTGCCCAACAAGTGTTACTAAATAAAGGCCAAGGCTTCTTAGCACACTACACATATTAACAGTTCAGCTTTGTATAATTCATTATAGTTGTGGTTAATAATTATCTTCCTTGACAGATTCTTGGTCTCTGCCCCATAAACAACTCCAGCTTTCCCATGATAGCCATGTCTACCTAGCTTATCATTATGGCTAGAATCTGCTACTTGACAGTCCCATTCTTGGGTTAATGAACCATTGTCACTTTGTCTCTCAGCTGTATCCTCACCTGGACATGAATCTCACCCTCATGAAATAGTGAGGGGGGTCATGGATTTGTACCTCCTGTGTTTGAAGACGCGGATGTTGGTCCATGAAAACTCACACTGAAATAAATCTATTAGTCTTTAAAGTGCTGAAACATTTTTCTTATTTCTTCTTTAGTTTTGTCAACAATTGACAAAACGACCTTGGCAAATATACCATTTCCGGCGCGCATATATATATATAGTGTGCTGCCAATTTTCCTGTGCAACTTTTAAAAACCACACTACAGACAGCAATCAGGCAGGTGTTGCTTCCCTTCACCACTTAATCTTTAGGTTAAGAATCTTCTTGAGGTCCTTCACCAGAGTTCAGATTTTTTAAAAAAATAAGCTTGATTTTAAATATATATAAGTGGTGAAGGGAAGCGGCACCTGTCTGATTGCTGTCTGTAGTGTGGTTTTTAAAAGTTGCACAGGAAAATTGGCAGCACACT